TTCCGCCGGAAGGGAACTCGCACACCACGGAGTTTCTAGTTCCTGTCACTCCCGTGGCGGGATATATTATATAGTGGCGCGGCTCGAAAATCTTCCTCGCGTTTCCTTGATATAATTATCGTCGTTGAACGTCGAACCCCGACGATCGAGCGGAAGTCGCGTTTAAATTCGTAATGCCGTTCCGCTAATTATGCTCTGACCGTAATCCCATTAAAATAATATCCAACGTTGCAACGTTCCGTAAAATTTCACGATCGCGATCACGATACTTTGATAGTCGATATTTTTGGAATTTTTTTTTTTTTTTTTTTTTGCAATTTGAATTTTTTCCACGAAGATTAGATCGAGAAAAGATTATTCTAGTTTAGATTATCGTATATTCTAAAAATTCTAAAAATTTAACACGTTCTTTTAGCTTTGCTGTTAAGAAATTATCACTCTTTAAAAAAACGTGTTTTTTAATAATTTTTGATGAAATTTTAAAATTTTTCCAAACGATCTTCAAAAATATTCGTTTTATCGTGATAAAAATGTATTTTCAAATTCATAAATAAATAAATATAGATAATGAGAGATTTGTATTTTTTTTTTTTTTTTTTCGTATCGATGATTGATCGATCGATAAAGAAAATGGAGATAAAAATCTTTTTACTCGAAAATTTCAATGAAACTTTGAAGCACGTAAGATAGCATGTTGTCGAAGCTGTGATAAAAGAGCCTCCTTCGTCTTTTTTAGAGACCCTTCGGCTAGACGGTCTTCTTTTTTTCACCGGCTACTCATCTAGCGCTGTTCGAGTTTCCAGCTGTCGTGACGCGACTTCGTGAAAGGGACTGAAGCATCGTCGACAAGGGGAGCGTGCTTTAACGAGACACGATCGATCTACCCTCGCCCGTATCGAGTCTATTCAGCCGTCCGGGGAGGGGGGGAAAAATATGATTTCAGGTAGACAGAATATGACGAAGATAAGAGCATCCCTCACATTTTGTCTGTGCAATCGATATTATTAATCGAAAAAATTCTGTCGTTCACTTTCATAGAAAAGATATATGAAATCTGTGCAACGCTACTTTACCGACAATTCCAGATAATTATTACGAGATTTTAAAATTGATTATACAATGGATTTAAAATCACATATTCCTATATCATACTCAATTATAACGAAATTTCACATTTCTGAAAAAGTTTATTAATCTTTTTTTTTTATATTCAAATAATTTGAATTTCTATAACTCGAAGATTTTGATTTAACCTTAAAATTTTATCGTCAGAAAATTTCGCGTAAAAAAAATGTTAGATTCAAAGTTCGTTGAAATTAGAACATTCTCCACTTTTTTTTTTTTCGTGAATAAGTGAGAAGAAGAGCGGAAAATCTATGGAGAAAAACGTAGTGGCGAGGACTAGGTTCGGGTGATCGAGCAGGAATACAGTGGCGCACGGCCGGCGAGAAGGAGAAAAAGGGATAAGACGAAGAAAAGGAATGGCGGAACGGCAAGAAAACGGCAGGCTAAAAGAATCCGCCGGATTTCCGCTCGACGTTAAAGCGCCTATCGAGGCCGTTGCGCAACGCGCGTGTACGCCCGATAACGATGGAAGCCGATGGAAATGCCTTCTACGTTGTTCCACGGATTTTATCTGTGGAAACCGATCGGATTTTCATCGATATATCATTTACTACTCGTTAATCCCTCCTCGTTCTCCTGGATATATCTCTTTTTCGTTTCTTTTCTTTCTTTTTCTCCCTGAAGAAATTTTGACCGAACTAATGGTATCTTAATTACTGTCATTGGGATAATAATTTGTGAGCTAATTAACTAGAAATTTGTTTGACGAAATTTTTAAAGATATAAGAAATAGGTTTGTTTAATCGGAATAACGAAGTATTTTTACGATGTTTATTTAATAAACATTTTAAGGTGAATGATATAATATTTAAATTAATGATGGAAATGTGTGTTAATAAAATTTGGAGAAAATACAAATATTGGAAGAAATTGTTCAGAATCTATTATATATGATTTTTTATATATTTCATTAAATAAATCATTTAAAAAGAATGTTTATTAAACGTTCCAAAATTATTTTTAACTCAGAACAATTTTTTACATGTAAAATATATATACAATTTTATAAATAATAAAATATTATTGAA